GAGAGAGAGAGAGAGAGAGAGAGAGGAGAGAGGAGAGAGGGGGGATGGAAGGAGGGAAGTGCTCCTAGAGTCACAGAGAACTTTCTCATTTATTCCACCTTAGTGGACATAATATTTGGGCTCATCAAACCCTAGGCCAGTGTCACAACAAAGGAGTGAAAATGAGCCCACCACCGAAAACCTGCATTAAAATCTATTTCTACCTACAAACACATTTGGTGTCATTATTTATAAAAAGGAAAACTCTTTCCCTTGCCTACTTTGTAGTGTGGTTGTAAGGTTCCAATGTGCTGGTGTACAAGAGGCAGGTGGCTGTGAATCAGCAAGTAGCAAGTTCTGTTCTGTTCTGGAACTACTGCCAGTTAGAGGAGCAGAGGTGTCCATATTATTAGAACAAAACTGTCACCTAACATTAACCATGTGGCCTAAAAGTTCCATCACATGTGAATGACTTCCAATTTCTACCTGTCTTAGTAGGATAAGTACTAGCAGTACTGAAGAAGCCCTGTGTAAGTCATTACCTATACCACTGGAGCACGGGCTCTGTCTTAAAATAAATATTTCCTAATAGTTCCTCTTATAAGGTCTAATAAATTTTAAGTAGCTTTTATTTTTATCCCAACTGCAAAACTTACTTCTACCTTTTATCATTCCATGAGGTGCACAATTATTGTTCTTGACAATAGTGAGAAATTATTATGATGATTATTATTATGATTGCTATTATTATTTTGGTAGCAGGAATAAAATTTAAGACCTTGTGCTTGCCAAGTAAGTGCTGTGCAACCGAGCTAAATCTCTGGTCCAGTAGTGAGAAATTATAAGGACATTAAACAGTGGATGGTTTGTGAAGCATGAATTGAAACTATCCAAATTCCACAGTTCCTGGTTTTGTCAAGATCTGTTATATAAGCTCCCACCTCACTGGTGGATTAGTTTGTGAAGTGGAAAATACTATATATATATATATATATATATATATATATATATATATATATGATATTCTATCACAGTTAAAATGTTGAAATCTCTCTTCTCCCCTTTCTCCACATACAGGCTGGCATGGCTCTGACCTATGACCCCACAGCTGCCATACAGAATGGGTAAGTAGACCATATATTTTCAGTTTTAATTGTCCAGAGATCTCTGAATCAATACCAAAGAAAAATGTTCTAATACATTTTCTTTTGGGTAATATTTTAAAACCAAAATGTTAAGCTAAACTTTTTTTGTCACCATCTTAATTATGTCCTTCCCACAAAGGAGTCTCCCATCTGTCAAAATGAAGTTCCTCGCTCTCCCTTGCCCTCTGTTTCTCCTTCTCCCAGGCCCCTGCCCAAAACGAGGCAGCCCAAAGAACTGCAAGTGAAGAGAAAATACAAAAAGTTCAGCTGGGAGAATTATCTGTATTTCTTCAGGGCAAAAGTATTGCCTTTGCAAATCACCAGAGAAAAGAGCTTTTAATAATTTCTATTGTGCTCCCAGGTTACATTCTATGTTGCTAATGTTTTCAGCTTTCTTTCTGGTGTTCAGTACAATATTCATGATCAGAAATCAAGGCAGTAACTGAGGTGATTATATCTTCCTTCTTCATTGAAATTAGCATAGGGAAAGTTGTAGCCTATTACTTAGTTTTGAATTCCTCTTGTAAACTATGTGGTCTGGCTTTTCTAAAATATCATGAAGGGCTGGGGAGATGACTCAGTAGAATAAGCACTTGCCTGGCAAGTGCAAGGGCCTGAGTTCAATGCCCGTTCCGAAAAAAAAAAAATCATGAAATCTAAATATTTGTAGCTGAAACTTTTTCTCTCACATTTATTTATTTATTTATTCATTCATTCTTTGGCTATCTTGTGTCTGACAATAATTGTTTGCCACTTGCTTGCTTTTAACAGCCCTTGATGGTGGGTTTCCCAGGTGACTTTCTCTCTGCTGTCTTTTAGTCTCGTTAAAGATTAAATCATGATGAAAGTCTCATTGAAGATCAATATAGAGTGTGGAATGAGTTTAATTCCATTTTTCTTTTTGGTCAGTGACCTGTAATGAAAATTTTTGGGGTGTGGAAGATGCTATAATAATTGCTTCTGATTTTTGTCTTTCTGTCCCTTATTTATCTATTTCTGCAATGAGCAGCTAGTGAGTGTGCTATGAAATAGATCTACGAGGCAATGTATACCACAAGGTGTTTCCCATAAAGAATCTGAAAGGCTCCTTTCCTTAAACAATGTCACTGCAAGTAGACTAGGGTAGGAGTCTAATCCTTTTCTTTTGGTTCATTTGATTCATTCCTATATAAGCAAATGACTGTCTAAAAGTTTTCTGCTTAATGCACTCCATTAAGGATAGAGAAGGGAAAAGTAAAATAGGCTTTGTCTTTGCTTTCCTATGTTTTCTATTATAGAAATAGAAATTAATTAACTTTAAAGGTTTTAACTATTTATTCACAATGAGCACAGAGAAAAGATGTTCAGGTGTTTGGAAGAGGCCAAGAATGTTTTGAAACAATGTTCTGCTGAGCTCGGACAGCTTTTAATAACTAACTAGACATGACAACTGGTGGCAAAAGAGAAACAAAAATGGCTCTGAAACATTTATGATAGAAGGACTGAAGCTGCTATTAGCAGTAAGTCAAGGAAATAAAATACAGAAACGCACTTGACTTATCAGACTCACCAGGACAAGAATGATTAGCTGGAAGAGGAGAACTAGAGTTGGGGGGCAATGGTAAGAAACCTAGTGCTTTAGCCAGACATCCAGTAATACAAAATTTAAAGTTCCCTGAGGGCATCATTTTCTAGTTACTCAGCCTAAATTAAAACAAAAAAGCTAAAGGAAAAAATGTTAAAGTTTTATCTCCTAATCTGAAGGGTAAGACATGAAATTGGACCAGTACCATGTACAGATTAGTACAGCCCAGTTCTGACTGGTACTTGCAACTGAAGCATTCAGCCCATACATATGTGAAATCTTCCTGTTTGGCTTTTGGTTGCTACCATTTATTTTGTTTTGAAATTTGTACTAGTGTTCTTTCTCCTTCCTTCTCCTCACTGCCTTTGCAGTCTTCTCTTCTGATACCTCCTATTCTACACACTTTTGTTCAATTTTTCACAAGGCTTCATCTTTACCCACCATTATTTCTACATGTTGCGCCCACTTCCCTCACCCTGTGAGCGGGAGACACACAGGCTGTCCTTCTCGCTCAGAACTGACTGTCGCTCTTACCCACACTGCTGTTAGCTGGTATCTTAGGGTTTCCCACACTGAAGCCATTCTCCTCAAGACCACAATGCCTAACACACTAATTCAAAGCAAGAGCACATCAACATGTATTGCCTTGTTTTGCTGCTTAAAAAATTAATTCCATAGGCACTTGCGCTATAAACTCAAATTTTTTGGGTTCTTCTAGACTTTTCATGAACAAAATACTTTTGTTCCTTCAGCATCTGCACTTTATCTTCATCCCAGTCCTTCTTCCCTCCTACTGACTGATTTCATTTAATCATAGTTCTTACCTCTACTGAGCCCTCTTTTACCTACCTCTAGTATCACCTTCCTCTGGACAGTTTTCCATTGCCTTTTAAGTATATTTAAAAGTATGTGTAATCGCATGAGTCACCTCTCTATCTTGTTCAAGGTATTATGTGCTATTTTCTAGCTAGTGAACGACTCAGATTCCCCTTTATAGCAGACATATCACCCTAAGTGTTTTTAGTGCAGCTGAACTGAACTTTATATAATGTGAACATCCCACTGGACACTCTCTTTAATAAAGGGAATTCTTTCCACCTGAGTTCAGACAAGGTGACACCTACTCTTCATCACACACGCACAAAATTTAAAAAAAATAAATTTCAAGAACATCATCAAAGAGGCTGGGGGATAACTTGGCAGTCTAAGCACCTGCCTGTCAAGTGCAAGACCCTGGTTCTATCCTTAGTACCACAGGCCATGCAGACCCGGAACCCCTGGAGCACCATGCAGCCCTGAAACCAGGCGTGGTAGCACAGGTCTGTAATCCCAGCTCTGGTGAGACTGAAATAGGAGGATGACTATGAGTCTGAGCTGCATGGTGAGACCCTATACCAAATAAACAAATAAATGATTTTTTTTAAAAGGACCATCATCAAAGCATGCCATGCAGAGGTAAGTATACAGTCGTAAGAAACATAGTGCACACAATGAAGAAGTCGGGATCCAGAACCAGGCTCTATCCTTGCACGATGGCATCCAGATCCTGTCATCTCCCTCATGGGAGACAATGGATGTTACCTGTAGTTTAGGTGCCTCCTTTGTGAAAGAGAGACAATATTATTGGGGCTCCTTATTACAGTGTTGTAAGGATTAAGTGAACCTCGTCTGGTATAACACAATCATTATTGTAATATTGGTATTATTTTTACTGCTTATTATTTCCATTTTACATTTGACAGGCTTTTTATTGTACAATACAGACATGTGCATCTGTGCCCCTGCAGAATGGGCACCACACTGAAGACACACACCAGGTCTTATTCTCTTTAAGATGGTGTAACACAGGACTGTGGCTGGCAAATCACGCACAGGAAGTATAATAGCAGATACCTGCCTGGTTCTGTCAAGCGCACATCAGAACAGCCCCTTCCCTTCCCAGCCAACAGTCCAGCCTGGCCGGGGTGACATCTTAACCTGCTTTCCTAGAAATACAACATTCAGTTTCACCCAAAGCAAGAAAACTACCTATGAGTTAAGGATGGAATTTTGGACATGGCAGACTACCCATTGTATATTGGTGACAAAAAGACTTACATATCATAGATTATGGAGAAATTGAAAAGAATAGAAAGATTGCAGCTAAATAATTATATTTATTTGTTACTTCTTACATAAAATAGTTGTAAATGTTTAGCTTATTTCATTTTGTATGATAACAAGCCATTAATAGCGTATTAACAAAGCAACCGTGCCTACGCAGGAAAGATGTCAGAATAACTGCTCATATTTTCTCAGCATACTGCCCCCTTGAGTAAACAGTGGCAGCGCCTAGAGGTGTGGACACTCATTTGGATAACTTGCTTTGCAGATGAAATACGTTAATGAACAAAAAAATGTTTGCCACTCCCTGTTGTATTGCTCTATTTGATCTCACCATCAAATCCAACTCAGACAGAAGATGCCTAATCGAAAAAGAAGTATTACTGCAGGGAGGAGGCCAGGCCAAAGGTACAGCAGCAGCTCACTCCAACCAAGTTAGCACTGTGCTGATTTAGAAGAGATCAACAAACACTTTCCTTTTTAAAATTTCTATCTGTAATACTGTTTCAAATTATTGTGGTGAGGGCCGGGGAGATGGCTTAGTGGAATATGCGCTTCCCTGGCAAGCGCAAGGGCCTGAGTTCAATCCCAGTTCCACAAAAAAGAAAGAAAGAAAGAAAGAAAG